GCATAGCAAGACTTCAGACATCAAAGGCAACTTGGGGCAAACATCTGGAGTTCAGGTGTTACCAAAATACTTCCCCTTCCACCAAACGTTTATGCTTCAGCCCCAGTACCTTACTCATCCCCTGCAAATAAGAACCCCAGGGAACAGTAAACCGAGCAGCTCTTTAGAGTTTCCTCTGAGTCATCCCAGCAGAAGGGTGAGCTTTGCTTCTTCTGAGCCCTCCAACAGCCAAGGATGTCAGCCCCCTATACCCATGACTCTCAAGCAATCAGCCATTGCCCCCCTCACCTCTTGGGAGCACCCCCCCAGTGGACAGCTCCCCGTAACCCTGTCCTTGGGGGTTCTCCATGGAGGACCCAATCCTGTCCTCCATCCAGTGTGGCCCAGGACCAACCTCTTGCTTTCTTTTCCAAGTGAGGCTGCTAAGAGTTTGTTGAGTCCTGTCTCTGTTGGGAAAGGTCACCTGCTTTCACACACACAGGCAGCAGTCCCCCCACTAATTTAAGAACCACCATCTCGGCGGGAGGAAGAGGGCTCCTGGGGCTTTGACGGCTGCAGCTCCCTCCCACGCGGGCATCTGGAGGGCCTCGGTGCTGTTCCTGAGGCCTTTATCTTTTAATTTAGGGGAAACACAGGGAGCAGCGTGGGTGGGGAAGGCAGCGTCTCATGTGCGCTTTAATCAGTGCCAAAGCTGGCATCAATAATGATCTCTTACACAGCTTTTTCGGTGTGTGTCACTTGTATTGCTAATAGAAAAGATCCGGCCTGTTTAAACATACATGAGGGTATCTCTTGCTTTCAGTTCCTTCCACTCTCTCGGCTGCTTTTAAATAGTTTTCATCTCCAGGGACGGCAGAGAAAAGGAACAGGGCAGAAGTGCTGGAAGCTCCCACACCCCGCACCCCAACCCCCTGCCCCAGCCCTGAGCCCCCTCCTGCACCCAAACTCCCTCCCAGAGCCCACACCTCCTCCAACACCCCAACCCCCTGCCCCAGCCTGGTGAAAGTGAGTGAGGGTGGGGGAGAGCGAGCGACGGAGGGAGGGCGGGTGGAGTGAGTGGGGTGGGGCCTTGGAGAAGGGCAGGGGCAGGGAAACGGCCTTGGGGAAGAGGCGGGGCAAGTGTGTTTGGGTTTGTGCGATTAGACAGTTGGCATTCCTAACTCCTCTACAGAAGAAGCCAAGCGCCGCACTCTTGCGAAGCAGCGCTGGGTACCATGGTGGGCTGCATCAGAAGCAATGGAGGGGATTCTGGGCCGCGCATTCTTCACGAAGGCGCAGGAATTAGAGATGGAAGATGTTATATGATGAGCGGAACTGAAGGTAGAGGGCCAAGTATCAGGAGGGGCCCAATTTAGGGTTGCACCAGTGGCCCAGCAAGCCAAGCCAAGCCAAGCCAGTTTCCTTACGCAGAAATGATAGAATCTAAGCACGTAACACTGGCCACGCCGCAGGCGTCACAAAGATCTCTTTCCCATGGCTTGGCCTGCCTGCCACGTCGCTTTTTGCTAATGAAACTGAAAACACTGGTCATCTGATTCACCCCCCATCCTCCAAACACAGCTCTCTGAGGCCTGCTACAAGACAGGCCTGTACTAAGAGCAGCTGCTCACCCGGGCCCCTGATCCTGCAACTCATTGGGTGTGTGGGCAGACACCAGTCTCAATGTGAGTGCCAGGGTCTACCCATACACAGCTAGTTCCAGGATCAGGGCCCGGGCTTTCTGCAGCAAGATCTCCGCAGAATGTTTGGCACACAAAATGACGCTGATGAAGCCTCACCGATGGAAAGAGAAGAAGACAAGGAGATAGTGAAACAGTGTGTAATACCAGAGGTGCTCCGGACATGGGTGCAACCGCTGCTGGAACGCTGTGTCCAGTTCTGGTGTCCACAATTCAAGATGGAGGCTGATAAATTGGAGAGGGTCCAGCGAAGTGCCAGTAAAATGATTAAAGGATTGGAAAACCTGCCTTATGGTGATAGATTCAAGGAGCTTAACAAAGAGAAGGTTAGGGTGTGACATGATTACAGACTTTAACAACCTACATGGGGAACAAATATTTAAAAATAGGATCTTCGATCTAGCAGAAAAAGGTGTAGCACTGTCCAATGCCTGGATGTTGAAGCTAGACAAATTCAGACTGGAAATAAGGTGCAAGTTTATAACCGTGAGGGTAATTAACCACTTGTAGAAGTGGTTGTGGTGGATTCTCTATCCCTGCACACTTTTAAATCAAGATCTGCTCTAGTTCAAACAGTAGTTAACTCAGGGAAGTCCTATGGCCTGTGTTATACAGGAAGTCAGACTAGATGATCACAACAGTCCCTCCTGGCTTTATAATCTGTGAATTCCTATGGAAGCACAAAGCATGGAACGACATTACAAACACACTGACATTTACTTCTTGACATCAACCCCTGTCCAGAATTTGTGGGAGCAGGATCTGACCCAGTGTTTCCAATGACTATGTATCTATGCATGCTGCACAGAACTACCACAATGATGCTAAATTTCAATGCAGGTGACTGCTCTAATGGCGCTGGGGCAGAGGAGGTTTTCCCATGCAAAGGGACCAGAAATCTTCATGCAGTTGGGGGAAGGATAGCTCAGTGGTTTGAGCATTGGCTTACTAAACCCAGAGTTGTGAGTTCAATCCTTGAGGGGGCCACTTAGGGTTCTGGGGCAAAAATCAGTACTTGGTCCTGCTAGTGAAGGCAGGGGATTGGACTCAATGACCTTTCAAGGTT